GAAGTCCAAATTTCAAAACGTAGTAGAACTGTAAATAGTACCACAATTGTATATAGGTATGAATGATAGTGGTTTCTATTAGATATTTACAGTGGAATGCGAGAAGTAAAAAATCGCACTTTGTAATCAACTCGTTGTGCATTTCATTCTCGTAGCAGTGGAATATTTCACATTAATCAATTGATTGTTGTGATACTACGAAACCGGAATTCCATCTGGTCTTAAGATACTGTTTTCTTTGCTTCGATGCACATATTGTATTATAATTCAACGATTCTGATCAGGTGGAACCTGAAGGTTGAACTATTTAATATATTACATAAATTTCACTAGGATTTTTTTTTAATACAAGGATCAATGGACAATGAGAAAGAATTTATTTCAATTCAGTATATACATGCGTTCTTTTCTTTTGAAGTTCGCTGAAGTCGTCACATTTGAAGGACAAAAAGATTTCCGAGTCTGGAGACGCAACATGAATTTTAACAGGTCTACCCGAAATCACGAAATGTTTCATGCATCGGAAACATGATGAGATCCACACAAACTTACGCAGAAATTACAATTACAGTGTTGATTGTGACAGTGTGATGCGACAATTTTATTAATTAGTATGTTTAATGCTAATTCTGCACCAACATAAAAGCTCTATTAGAACATAGGTATTATATGATGTTTGAATGTAACAAATTTTGCATTTTGCAGTGAATTTCGATAGACTATAAAAGTTAAGACTGGAACGAAATTTTGTTACTTTTTGGTGCAATCTTATTCTCAATCGGGTAATCCTCTTCCGAGGTTGGCGCAATTTTGTTTTGTATTCGATTCAAATTGTCATAAGAGTATTTGTAAGGGTAAGGCCTCTTGTCCTTAGGAGCAATCTTATTTTGGATAACGATTTGAGTGCTGGTTGGTCGTGAGCCTGAAAAAGTGCCACCAGTGTTCCCGTGCCAGGTGAAATTGGTATCTTCTTCTATATTTTCGTGAACTTCGTAGGTATTTTGGTTACCACTTGTACTCCCATGACTTCCATGGGTTCCTATAAAATACGTTCGATGTAAAAGCGTTTTTAATTCCTTTTAAAATTATTTCTACCTTGACTTCCATGACTTCCATGACTGCTTCCACCATGACTGCTTCCACCGTGACTGCTTCCACCATGACTACCATGACTGCTGTCAGCATGAGCGTAGGTACCAAACATGCCTTGAATGCTGCCTACAATGCTGCCTAGAATCCCATGATTGCCAATCAAGAATGATAAATTGTTGAAACCAAACGGATCCGTGTTGTTCACTTTGATGGTCCTTTTCACTTGTTGCTGTTTCAAACGTTGTTGTTGAAGTAACTCTCTCTGCAACCTCTGTCGCTCTCTCTGAGCTATCAAGCGGTCCAGTCTCTCTTGTCGATTTTTCTGTGCATTTTCAGCATTCTGGCGTCTCTGACCTGTTGTCGACTTCACGAGATTGCCGACGGCTTGCAAAGTCGATATGGGAATCTACGAAGCGCAAGATTAATTAAAAAAAAACTATTAGTAATTAAAAATAATTAATTGCTTTGATACCTGCAAAACGCTGTCGATAGTTTGGGAATTTTGTGGACTGAAGGACTGCGCAGCAGCTGCTGTTTGCTTGATAGCCGTAATTGGGATCTGAGATCGTAAAACAAATTCTATTAGACAATAGTTGGTTCCCGAATTAATATCAAAACGTTAAAAAGATATTCGAAGACAGAAAATATGTTAGATTAATAATACATTTTAACATGAGATTTCATACAAAATTTATGTGTTACAACAATTTATTTATTAATGCATTCTATAATGGAAAGATATCGAGTGCTTACGTTGAATATATTATCTATCACGCCACCTTCTTGTGGAACATCTTGTCGCTTTATTCTCTGGAGAATCACCTGAAATTTGAGTTAACACATGCTATAATATTTGACTTAATTGTAACGATTATTAAATGCATTAAATATCATCGTGATATTAAATTCGTAAATGCTGGTAGGATTGGCGAAAGACGTACGTAGCTTATTATGTCTACACTTCTCAACTTTCACTTCTTTGCATATAATGACAAATCTAAGTATTTTCCGTGTGTCAACCAGAAGATCACTGTGTTGCCTCAACAAGAATCATTGCATTTCTTAGTAGATTTTGAATTTAATATCAACTTTCTACGTTAATATTGAGGGTGTACCAATTCAAATTTATTAAAATCTCTTAATTTTTTAATTTATATTTACATTCCATTTGTTTGTTTATATTCAATCTTTAAGTTGTAAAAATTTACCGTTTCTGAGGCTACCAGGCAAATGATAGCACCGAAGGTAACAGTGGTTCCGAACATCCCTCTAACTGCTTGCTTCGACTACTCTCTCAATTTTCACGATCGATGAACTGCAGACAGACCGACGATCCGCGGATCTATAAGGATAGCTGTCGTGTCCCACGCAGGGCATCGACCAATCGCGATGCACAAAGTACAATATCTTTTGATCCTTCCTCTTCGACTAGCTGCTTTGCGATTCACCTATTACTTTTATGTACAAACAGTGGCGTGGGCGGGATTGCTCAGACGAAAGTAGAATGCGACACTTTCTAAAATTATAAAAGAGACAGAAAAGCAAATGCATGCAATTGAATCCTTATAAGAAGAAGGACTAATGATACTTACTAAAACAAGAAATAATATTTAATCGAACGATGGTGTTTGACAGAAATTGTCGAAGACGTTCGCTTCGCTGTCGATGGCAGAGAACTGATCGTTTGAATCCATGATCCATCTCGATGCAACATATAAGGGCGAGACCAGGTGTCCCGCATCGCGCGCCAACCAATCGAATCCGACCGACCGACCGACCGGGCGAGCTTTCTACTTACCTGTTTCTCGAATTCGCTCGTCTGATCCTTACGGTCCTTTTTCACTGATACCATACACGCGGAACACGAGCGATGCGAATGCGTGGGTTATGCGGGACCACGTGTTACATAAATATCGGACGATGATCTTTGAAAGTGACGTAACCGGTGCGAAAAAACACTTTTGCTGCGTTTTGAAACGGTCTCGGATGTCCTTGGCTTAGTTTCTATTCGAATCGGTTCCATACAAACGAGACATTTTTCATTGGATT